TCATGTATTAAAAATACATGAATTGTAGGCAATCTACAGTGCATGTGAAGGGAGATAGTGCGACCATACAAAAGACGTCAGTTGTTCCGCATTTGAAGATAGTACATCTAACAGTGAATTTGAACGTTTTTCTTCAACAGACTATTTATTTTTGTGTATTTCATTATTGATTACTGCTTCAGTTTTTTGCTAGGTTTCTTGTTAAATACTGTTTGTGTGGCAAACATCCACTAAACAGACGTAACTCGTAGACAATTGTGTTGAATTGTGTATGCATTGCACCGTTATTTAAGGTTACACTAGCTTCTCCAGTGGCGGGGTAAGAAAATTATTAAAATAGGTTAAAAAACAGTTTTTTTGACAGAATTCGAAAAAATAAACTATTGTTACGTGTTTTTAAAGGTCAAAGAAGCCTCTGTATAAATACTCGAAGTTAAACTCTGTATATATAGGGCGTAAGAAGTTTGACTGCCATTACTTCACATGAGAGAGTAATAATAAATACAAAAAAGTTGTATATTACATGGGCGTAAGATTAACAGTTTTCAGAATACGAGTTTTAATATTGGGGAGTTTCATCACAACATGGCAACAGTGCTTAACCTGCTGATGCATACCACGCGTGCAAGTGGCAGACTTGTCCTACGGAAAAAATGTAAACAGCTATTATTGTGAAACATTTAGTAAATTTCAAGACAATTGTTGCGCTTAAATTTTAGCTCAAATTTTAGTAATTATGAATCTTAAAACAGGAACTTGACTTTTAATCAAATTACGTATTTGAAAAATATGTAATTAAAATACCCAAAGATTCACGTCGTCCAAATAATCATACGTATTAAAAATAAGTTAGGGACTTACCAAAACGCAAAATTCAGTAATTTTTAAACACACAAGTTCAAAACAAACTACAACATATGCTCAAAATGTCCGCCACCATTTTCGATGCACGCACGACACCTTCGAATCCAATTATCGCGCACTTGCTGGAAAACGCCTCAAGAAAAAGAAATAGTGGTACGCAAAAAACACTCAGACACGGTCCAGTTCCAGATACCAACTGAATTGTGTATTGCTTGACAGCTTAGTACCTCGTGTTGACCGCCGCGCCATTGTCACATTGCTCTCTATAAATTATTTTAACGAATTTTAAATTTATTACAACGCTAATTATTTTTTAGAATTAAGCATAAACAAGTTCAAAAAATTGATAAACATTGTATTTTATGGTGTTCTATGCACGCAGTTATGTCAATATTCCTTAATCAATCGAACTTTTGTACATCAAGAAATTATTTATTTTGACCTTTGTAGTGAATCGTTTCGAGAGGCCACCCCAGCAGATCAACCAATCGAAACAGGCCCTCTCGAATATGCTTCGACAGAGACACCCGCTTAATACTTTCATCCCGGGAATGCAGAACAATCCGAATTCTGCGCCTCAGAATACCAATTATGGACAGATGCAGAGGAGCTTCCCCAGACAGTCTATCAGGCAACCGCATCCTGGATCGATTCAACCGAATCAGGTAAATTAACTAAAAAAATTTTTTGAAACTTTGAACTGCTTTATTTATTTACTGAGTAAATCATATTGATATTTTGTCCGTTTTGAAATTAAAGTGTGTGGCAAATAGATAGGTAAGTCGTCTTAAAAAAAAATCGCTGAAAATGAAGAATTATTTACAAATTGGCAACACTGTGTTGTTGTGCTCAGGCATATGTGTGTAGTTGCAATAGATTTCTGAATTTGTGTGTATTCCGTGATGATTTCAGTCAGCGATGTCATTGAAATCCCATTTGTAATACTTCTATTCTGAAAATTACCCAATTATTAACTGACACGTTTGAAAAAATATAAAATTTTCAGAAACGTAAACATTTAACAACTAAGTGAAAATATCTGTTATTAACGATTTTTTTGTTAAAGTCATCTTAAAACATACTTTGCTCCAAAAATTTGTACGGAATTTGACAACCTCATTTGTTAAACCACCGTTTTGAGGCAAAATGAAACCAATTGGTTGAGGTGTTTGGTCAATCTAGGGACTTTAGAATGTACCAAATTGCCATTTTGATGCAAAATCCCTGTTACCACTCTTCACAATCAACAAAAAAATATAAATTTAAAAATTGTTGTCGGCAACCATCGTTCTAAGACTACACCGATTCATATTATACTGCGACTTCAAGTAAAGGTTATAGAGAACAGCGCCATCTATCCATGCACAACTTAAACATTGTTTGATCTAAACATTGGCATATGGTAGTCTTGCAAAGAACGCCTCAATTAATAAAGGTGTCTATGAGAAAAAATAATAAAAATGGTTATTTGATTAAGCTACAATGCCCATTTTTTTAAATTTTTTTAATTTGACCGACATTTTAATTATTTATACACTATTTCTTAAAGGGAATGTTCCCTCAGCAGTACAGCAACATGCAGAGCGGCATGAGCCAGCAGTACAGCAACTACGCCGCCAACCCTCAGACCATGATGCAGGGCAACATGCAGGGCAACCAGCAGATGATGCAGGGGGCCCAGGGCAACATGTTCGCCGGGCAACAGCAGGGATTCGGCCAGGCCAGGCCAGCGCAGCCGGATTACCGGCAGATGGGACAAAATCCGAGAGCCCCTTACATGCAACAAGCCCCCAACGTCACCATGAACACGAACATGAACACCATGGGAGCCATGGGTGGCCAAGGGGGTCCCGCTCCGCCGTATTCCCGTACCGCAGCTCAGACTATGCAGCCGAACGTGCAGAATCAGAATCAGTTCCAGCAACAGCAGAGGATGAGGCAGCAGATGTTGGCCATGCAGCAACAGCAACAGCAGCAGCAGCAGCAGGGGGGGCCGCAGGGCAACCAGCCCAGTCCGGCCCTCGTGGCGCACCTGCAGAGGCAGCAGATGAATCCCAATCCTTATCACCAGCCACCGCCGTACAATATGCAGTAGTTTTATTTACGTACGCGATTTATTTTGATTATTGTACGCTTCTGCACGAGTGAACGTTATTGTGTATATTTTTATTTATATAAAAGGATTAGTTTTTCTTTTGACAAAAATTTTTGCTATTTTAATATTTAAAGTAGTTTTTCTTGAGGGGACGGACCAAAAGTAGTTCAAATGTCTCATGCAGTAATTTAATTATTGTACTCAAATGGATGTCATTATGTATATTTGATAAACGAGTTGAGTTCTATTATACTTTTTCCAAAGTTTCCCTTTGTTTTAATTTTAAACATGTATATATTTTTTATATTGAAAGATAAACGTACAGGGTAAGTTAATTTCTAAACTTTTGGGGGTTTCTGGTATTCATCGACAAAGAGTAGTTCAAACGTCCCGGACGATATGCAGTAACTTTAATTACACTACATTCAGATATATGTTTATATAAAAGAATTAAATGCCAATTTTTTTTTAATTTTCCTCAGGTTTAATATTTAAAAATTCATATTAGGAGGGTTTTTTGCTTTTCTCAGGTAGATGGTTAATAAGTAGTTCAAATGTCTCGAGCAATACACAGTAATTTCCAAATGTGATGTGTTTTAATTACAGTACATTACTTCATGTTTGTATATATTTATATGAAAAGATTAAGTTCTATTATTTTTTTTACCAACGGTATTTCTTTAAATATTTAACACACTTTATTTCAAAAGGAAATATTAATTTCTATACTTTTCGAGGGTTTCTATTATTTAATTAAGAGACAGACCAAAGGTAGTTCAAATGTCTCGAGTAATATACAGTAATTTAACTTTATATAAATACTGTACTCCAGCGAATGTTACTATGTATGTCTGATAAAAACGAGGATAAACGGATTGAGCTCTATTAGATTTTTTTAGTTTTCCTCGGTTTAATTTTAAACATCCACATTTTGTATTTTTGCTATCAAAAGTACGATGTGTAATAAGACAATATCTAGAATTGTGAAGTTTCTCATGTTTCCTACAGACACAAACAAAAAGTAGTTCAAATGTCTCAGGCAGTTCGGAAGATACAGTATTTAAGTTGCTGTGCATTATTTTTTTTATAAACATAGTTAGTTCTACTCGATTTTTTCTAAACAACGATTATTCCTGAGTTGGAATATTTAAACATCTGCATCTCTTTATTCTATCAAAAGGAAAATAATATACAAGATAAGCTAAAATCAACAATTTTAGGAGTATTTCTTAAGACATTCAAAAAGTAATTCAAATGTCTCAGGCAATATGCAGTAATTTCATTTCCAAATGTGATGTATTTTAATTACTGTACGTTACTACGTGTAGGTATGTATATTTATATGAAAGGGTGAAGTTGTATTATATTTTTTACCAAAAGTATTTCTGTAAACATTTAACACCCATTGCTTTATTTCAGAAGGAAATGTCAGTTTCCATACTTTTAGACGGTTTCTATTTTTTTGTGAAGAGCGAGGATAAAAAGATTGAGCTCTATTACATTTTTTTTTAGTTTTCCTCGGTTTAATTTGTATTTTCTATCAAAAGGACAATGTGTAATAAGATGATATCTAGGATTATGAAGTTTCTCATGTTTCCTACACAGACAAATAAAAAGTAGTTCAAATGTCTCGAGCAATATGTACTAATTTCATTTTGGAAGGTACAGTATTTAAGTTGGTGTACATTAATTTTTTTATAAATATGTTTAGTTCTCGATTTTTTCTAAACAAAGATTTTTCCTCTGTTGAAATATTTAAACATTTGCATTTCTCTTTATTCTATCAAAAGGAGAATAATATACAAGATAAGCTAAATTCAACAATTTTAGGAATATTTCTCAAGATATTCAAAAAGTAGTTCAAATGTCTCGGGCAATACGCAGTAATTTCATTTCCAAATGCGATGTATTTTAATTACTGTATGTTACTACATGTGTATATTACAACTTATATACTATATTTATATGAAAGGATTAAGTTCTCTTATTTTTTTTTACCAAAGATTTTGCTTTAAATATTTAACACCTATTGCTTTATTTCAGGACACAATTTCTATACTTTTAGAGGGTTTCTATTATTTCATGAAGAGGCAGACTAAAAGTAGTTCAAATGTCTCGGGTAATATACAGTGATTTAACTTTATAAATACTATACTCAAGGGATACTACTAATACCATGTATATCTGATAAAAGGATTGAGCTCTATTAGATTTTCCTGTTTAATGTTGAACTTCCTAATTTTGTATTTTCTATCAAAAAGACTGTGTAATAAGCCAATATCTAGAATCTTGAAGAGTTTCCGTTTCACGAACAGACAAAAAATAGTTCAAATGTCTCAGGAAAAATTTGAATATCAAACATTTGATTTTTTCTCTTTCAATACTTACATTTGTATTCATTTTCTCCCTAAAAGAAAATATATAAAATACTTAGCCACTTTCACAGAAAATTAACAAAAATGAAAAATTCGTTGGATATGGTTCTTTTTTTTTTTGAAAATACAAGATATCTAAATTACTTTTTATTTCTTATCGAAATTAAAAAAATTCTATGGAGAACATATTTTAAGAGTAAATTTTTTATATATTTATTTTTAATAATGGGTTATTAAGGATAGTGGATGGGTGGCAAAATAAAACAAGCTATATTGGCGTCAAACTTTATTATACACCTTTATAAAAACTTTACTTTGCTTTCTTAGATTTAATCTTACGCATATAGAACTCAAGTTCTTTTCCCTCTAATACATAACCGTCGGCTCTACCGCACTGTCCAGGTCTCGATGCCAAACAAGCTGCAAAATAAAAGGCATTTCTTTAAATAAACCGTTATTTTTTTTTTAAACGGACTTAGTCGATAGTTAAGGAACTATCAGAGTAACTATGACAAGCAGATCATCGCCCACGAGACATTTTCAATACGAAAAGGTCCTTAGATATGAACTCGCTTTAGTTTTTTCATCACGTCATTTTGTCTCTAAATAAATCATAAAAAAATGGCGCAACAAAACAACTTTTTAAAACAATTTGCAAATTACTAAAAAAATCTTATCACCTACCTAACAATCTTCCGGTCTGGAACTGTTCTTCAAGTGCAGGCTCAACTTTTGCAGTTTTCTGCCTGGTTTCATACTTCTTTTGAACTTTTTTACTACGTTTCTTATTCAAAATTTCCTCTTCCTCCGGAGTCTACAACAAAATACGTCACACAAACACATTCTCCTAGAATCGATTCAAATTAAATGACAAAACAACACTACTATAATCAGCAAATAGGCCTAAGCATTTAAATCATCGAAATCAGATGACACGCATGAAAGTCATCATTTATGATACTGGATAACGAATTTAAAAAAATTAATTTTCTGAAACTCACCAGCTTAGCTCCCTTNTCCCTCGTACCACTGCCTGAACGGGGTAGCGTCAATTACAACAATAGCATTCTTTACCAAAGTCTTGGTACGCACCAATTCGTTGTTACTGGCATTGTAAACTACATCGATAATACGGGTTTTCCTGGCGGTACCCTCACTACCCCAAGCGAAATTGCCAGTATCCAACCTCAAAGCCCTGTATTTAAGGTTACCACCTCTGGTACGAACATAATGAATCCTACGAGGTCCAAGTTTTGTGTTGGCGGCTGGGCGACCTAACTCGAACTTCCTCTTCTTACGCAGAGGCTTCCTCTTGCCTCCTGTGGCTCGCCTTTTATGCCAATGGTCCCGACTGATACCTAAAAAAAATAAACAGATTAAATTCGTGCCAGTAAAACAGTAATCGTAAATATGTTATCACGAATAGTTCAGAACGCTGTGGGAAAGAGTCGTCAGCACAACACATCGGACAATGTAAAAAATTCTCATCATTTAAGACCATGTTTTGATTTGAAAAACTTATGGGTTATGTTGTTAAAAATAATATTTATAAAACAATATCTCCAGAAATATACCTGGCAATAACTAAAACGTTTGTTAAAGAAACGGATGATTCACAATTTAATTTAAAAACTAAATTATTTATCGAGATGAACTGCGATTTACAAAAAACAAACTTGGCAATACTCACCCATCACGAAGTGAAAAACTAAAAGGCAAAACGGAAGTTGCCGGTATAACAGATTACTTCATTCCAATTTACCCTTGTTTGTAGTTATTCAACGTTGATAATAAGGAAGTGCTGCCGCGTCACGGTCATATGCGAAAGTGCGTATTACAATAAACTTGAAAAACTCGCGAAGTACCGAGCTTATCGTAAATTACAGACACAATTTGTTTTCAACAGAATAATTATAAGCAGATTGGTATATAACGTTTGTTTTGTTTCTCTTAAACGAAGCCTCAAGTAAAACCGCGGAGTCAGGGAGACTGGGGGGACCACGAACTCATACGGGAAAATTGACTAGTAATAGTAGAAATTACTTATGTTTTTACCGGTAGGGTCGCTAGTATCCTTTGTACACCGACATATTTTCATTATTTATCTAATTCAAAGTAGCTTATGTTATTTATTTTTAAATTTTTAACACATCACAAAAAGGCATTGATTTTTAATTCAAACTGCCGCTTTCTTTATCTCCCCTCCACTATTTCGCTGCATTTGGGATACTAGCGCCCTCTTATTTTATAAGATGAAATTTATGAAATTCGTACTCCTTGTCTTGTGCATCTCTTTGCGTTGAATGCTCACTCACCGGGCACCCTCCCCGATGACATAAAAAACTTAATACGTGACAGACGACGTGCGAA